ACAGATGCAGTCGCAATCTTTTGTGATGACACTTCTAAAGCTAAGATTTGGAGGGGTTAATTGTAATTTATGTATAAATGGTGACTAGATTAATGCTGCCTGCTTATCTTCACTACAAACCTGAGCTCAAGTCTCCTGACAGAGTGCAGGAGGCGTTGATGTGGTAACTCCATGTACCAATTGAATTGGATCTCTGAAATTCAAGAACCTGTGGTTCCCTGGAGTAAGGTGTTACAACACTATGAAATAAAGCAAAATCTTCTACATTTTAGCAATCAGGCTATTCAATCAGTAGCTTTTTTACACTTTTCTGTCCTGAGCTATGTTCCAGCTGCAGGTTTGAGAGCCACTGTGGCTGCCAAGTGACGTTTGTATCTATGCTGGCAAGTCTCTATCAGTGATACGGACTTTAATTAGATATGACAGAATTACGATACAACCTGCTTTGGATGCAGTTTAGGACCAAGCCCCACTATTTTTACATCCATTTCCAAGCAAATTAAAGCCCAGTTTGAGGTGTGTGCTCCATCCCAGCTACTTGATATCTATTCAAAAGGAAGGGAGACTCTGTCATTACGTGGTCACTGCCCTGCAGTTTGGAGCTTTCCTTTTCACAGTCCAGGAGCAGCAAGGGCAGACCTCATTTCTGAGTGTCCTTGGCTGCTGTCGCTTGCAGGGTTTCAGCTCCTGCACTTTTCTCCTGAGAGAACATGATGGCACTGACTTAATGGGGGTAAATGGGAAGATGAAGGCTGCTCGTTTTCTGTGCGTGGTGAGGGTGAATCTCTGGTCATGAATTCAGAGGCAGGCACGAAGTACAGAGCAGCCTTCTGCTCTCAGTGCTGACACTGATATTGGTTGATGGCGTTAAATAAAGCTGCTGGAGATTGTGTAGAGTGGCAAGGGAGTAAAGGAAAAAGAAAAGAAAAATGTATTTATTTACCAAATTTGAAAATGGTAAAATGGATGATTTTCAGGAATGAGAATGATGACCAGCTTTACAGTGCTTTTGAGTGGCTTACATTTTGAAGAGTGGTTTTTTTTTGGTTTTTTTTGGAAAAAGAGCTGCGAGCTCCAGACATCATTTTTAATGAGTATGCAAAATACTGGCTGTAGTAGCTGCAACACCAGTCATGAAACAGTACTCTTGGAGGCAGTCTTTAAAAATTAAATACTTCTGCCTTCCAGTTTTGAAAAAATTATTCCTGTGTTTGATTTTTTTTCAATAAGCAAATCCTTATAAAACTTAAATGCTTGAAGCCAAATAGCATGCATTATGGTCAGGCCAAAGAACTGGAATATCTGTCAAATAGAAAGAGTGAGAGTTTCTGCATCGTGTTTCCAAAATAGTTGCACACACTTCTTGCTTCCTTCATGTGCCCTTGGCAGTCAGTCAGCTGTAAGACTTTTTGAACACCATGATGTGCTCTGAAAATATCCTCTGCAACTTCGTAAATCGTTAAGAGGATGAATTATGGAAATGACAGTGGGTAAGGAAGAGCAGCAAAGATGCACATTCACTTGGGACATTGCCTTGAGGCTGGCGTCATTTGTTGGTTGGATGGTCTTTGAAATAGAGGCATTAGAGGGAATAAGTTGTAGCAAGCAGATGAAATATCTCATTTATAGTCATACTCATTGCACAGAAAGAAAACAACATCAAATATTATTAACAGGTGGTCTAGTGGGAAGGCAGCAGTAAACAATGCTTCCTAAAAGTGGGTAATTCTTCTCTCCCTGATGGGCCACATTCAGTTTGTAAAATGCACGTCAGTATTTTTTATGACCACATAGTTTACTTTTTCGTCTTGTTTTCCCTAACTACATATGGTTTAAAATCAAAACAAGCAAAACCCTAGTCAGTCATAAAAAAAAAAAAAAGTTACCTGTTTGTTTGTTGAAAAAAACCTTTTGATTATTTTTCCCTTTTTTTTTAATTTAAAAATTGAGACTTAAGTCCCAGTATAACAGCAATAGGGATTTTGTTTTAAAGAAATGCAAGAGAAGAAAAATCAAAAAATATTGTGCAAAAAACCCCACCAATGGAGTGGGTAAATGGGCTCTGTGCTGATCAAGGAGCATGCTCTAGTGGCAGGCTAATCCAGCATGGCTTTCTTGGGTGCCCATCCTCCACCTTCACTGATATTAATCAGCTTCTTCAAGAAAGTGACATTTTCACAGAATCTTATTAAATTTACCATCTCTGTTGCTCTCCAGTGCCAAGGCAAGTGCAATGTGTTTACATGTGGCATCATCACATATATTGGTGGTAGTGAGATGAAATTCCTGCTCTCTAATTAATTTTGCAGTGGGGAAGTTATGTCTATTTTTGCAGATGGTTTTTAAATGCACAGATATTTTGAGCTGCAGAGGGGAAGATTTCATGCTCACGATGCACAAATTCTTATGGAGTGTGAGCATTTTAGTAACAAACACAGTTGTTAAGTTTGCATCACGTAAAATGTTGGGCTCTCAAGCCCTGCACATTTTTGCAGTGTTTTCTGTTTTAGTCCTCTCCCCAAGGCTGGAAAATTTCTTTACTCCTTCCTCTCTCGTTCTACTTTTTTTTTTTTTCCATTAATGAGACTGTAGGTTTACAGTTTGATTCTCTTCAGGTTTCTGAAATACACCTAGATAGGCATCTTGTAAGAAAGAAAAATAAAATACTAAGTAACTTTGAAGCAATTCACAGCTGAAGAGTAGGTGTAGTAATGGAAATTATGCCCTGTGATTATAGGTGAGCACCCTGAGATGGGCTTAATTTCATCATATCACTTGGTAGAAATATAATTAAATGTGAAGTTTTTATCCTATATCCTTCACTGTATGTGAAGGGTTTTTTGCCACGAATTCTATTCACATCACTAACATTACATATATATATATATATGGTCTTTAAGTAATGTGTCTCTGCAGCACATGCTAAATTTTTTATTATTATTTATTAATTTGAAGCACATAAAAAATATAATTTATTGGATTCTCTGATGGTTGTGTTATGAACTGCAAGTGCCTGCAGAAGTAGCTGACTATCGGGATCCATCTGAAAAATTTCTTTTATTGCTTAGTCATTCCTAAAGGCCCTGTGAAGTTAGGCCGTACATTTAATTGTTGCTGTTCCTCAGCCCTCTCCATGCCATGGCTGAGGGAACTGAGCAGGTTTCTGCTGTTGTAGGGAGGTTCATGCAATGGTGAAATTCTGTGTTCTGTGTTTTCTGTGGGGAACTGTGGAGAGGAAAGGAATTCCTCTTAAAGCAGCTCCTGTTGAGGGTGCGGTGTTTCTCTGCTCTCCTGTAGGGCCTCCGGGTTCTTTCTCTTGTTTGGCTTCATTTTGGGGGTAATTCCAGTTATTTCCTTCAGCAGAGTTTGTTCCAAATGAATGAAAAATCCTTAATGTAAACATAAAGTGTACAAGGTTCAAAGCATAAAAGTTGAAACTTGCTGCTCTGTCTTGTTTGTTCAGCCAGCAGGATCAACATCCCCTTTTCATGACCTTTTGCACTTGGAGTTAAAATTTTATAAGCTTTTAAACTTTGCTTCTGATTGTTTTTTCCAAATCAAATTTTAGCAATGCAGTTGGCATATAGAGTTAGGTTTCTAGAAATGATCAAAGCAGTACATAATAGCCTGGCAGGGAATTAAAATTACATTAATGGAGGGTCAGGACCTTTTCACTTAGTTCTTGTGAACCACTGTCAGTGTTGAAGGAGGACCAGGACACTTTTCCAGTCCAGGGTAGTGGTATCATGCTTTTGGAGATTATTCTGCATTTGGCTGTTGGAGGCTTTTCTGGAGGGAAAGAGGAGAAATTTGCTTGATTCTCTTGGGAACTGACACATGGAAAATGATTGCTGACCAAAATACCCTGTGGCTCCCCAGTCAAAAGAGGGGAAAAAAATTTCAAGTCTTATTGAGCTTAGCAACAGACTAAATAACAGAGGGTTTCTTAGAGGTCACTGCTTTTGGGATGATGGAAAGTCTGAAATGGTAAGGCCTGTTTAAGGCATGTGTTGCCTTCCTTGGTTTTAATCCTAGTATTAAGGAGGTGTTGTGGAAGTTTCAGTGTTACTTGTAATGAATTCTGTGAGCCCTTATAGCTGGAGTTTAGTGCTTAAAAACTTGTTTGTTCCTTTCCTGATCCCCTTCCAGAGGGCAGAGTTTGCTGTTGCACTATTGAGTGCAATCTGCTTCAAACAGCATTTTTTTGACACGTGGATTCTTTTCTTGTGGTGCCCAGACAGTGTTCCTGTGCTTCTGCCTTCAAATCTTCTCCTTAATCCTTTGGTTTATATAAGATCACTTTCTAATGATTTAATCTGTAATGAATATTGGTGGTAGGAATCAGCATGTTACACAAATTCAGGATCAGTAATTATCCTGATCACAGGTGTGTAATGTTTTAATTTTGAAGTCACCTGTAGAAATTAACTTAATGAGGGTATTTTAAGGATTGTTCATACAACTGGCTCTTTATAATTTGTTGGTGTGTAATTCAGCTCCTGAATGGTCACTTTTGAAAACACTGGATGGTTTGATCATGGCCTTGTGGTTCCTGGTTTTTATCTTCCCATTGAATCATTTTATTTGTATTGGTTAACACTGCAATATCTATTGCATCAATACTGAACCCTTTGTAAACTTTTTCTGGAGTCTCATGAAGTTCCCCTTTGTCAATGTGGACAGACAAAAAGAACAGAAATTCTTTTGAAGCTACTGTGCTGTTCTGTGGTGGGGATTTGCTTTCAACTAAGAGTGAGAAGAGGATGGAGTTGAAACTGTGACTGTAATTTGTTTTTTAAAATAAATTCTGTGTAAATAATTAAGGTCTCTAATTTTTGTTTGTTTATTTTCTTAACTAAGCATATATTGTTATCAGTAGGAAACTGAATGTTGTTTTAATTCTTTCAGTAAAAAGACTGGTAGAAAAATAGCTTTTATCCTTTTTTCATCCTTTAAAATAAATATTGATAGAAACTATCATAATATGGTTTGTGTTACAGGTGGTGTAATACCAAGGGCTGTACTGCTGCCACATCACAATTTTGTGGGGTTTCAGAGAGTAGTTCTGGTAAGGACACTCAATGATTTATCTATTTATTTGTCATAAAAGTGGACTGTAGTTTGGTACAATTTAGTATTACGTGCATTTACAGTATTTGTTAGGTATCAGTTTCTGCAGTTCACTGAATCCTTACATTAAGTGTTCTTTTATTCAGTGGTCTTTAACAGCTCCTTTTGGAGCTGTTAGTGTCTCATGTGTAAATCCATATTCATTTTGGTGAGAGTTATGATATAACACATCAATTCACAGCATGGAAATAATAATAAATAGACCTTTTGTCAAAACACATTGTAAAAACTGTATTGTCTTCTTGAAGTGTGGAGTCACTATTGCCTCTGTGTGTATCAGTTCTTAAAAAAGGGTGTAAAATTACTGTATTTTGATTATAGTATGTTTTTTTTCAAGTGCTAAAGTCTTGTCTTCCTAAAGGAAAACACAAGTGTGTGGTTCAGAGGGCAAATATCCAGACCATGTGCTTTTATTAGTGTCTTCTTAAATGTGATGTAGTCATGATTTTGCAGTTATTTTCTTTAAATGTATGTAACTGCAATCCCTGTATCATTTTGTTTGGTTTTGGAAACTTACCTTAGATATATTTACTTATCTCTTCTCCATGGCTGGAGTTACAAGGGAGATGAGATTATCAATACTGTTTCTTAGAAAGGGAAAATTCCTTGTGCACCAGGCCATCAGCAGCCATGCTCAAGTATTGTGCAAGAGCACAATTGAGCATTTGTTCTTTCAGCAGGAGATAACTGAGACCACATTTGTATCTGTAGAATTTTTAATATATACTATAATTTAACAAATGTCTTGTGGGTGTAGCAGATGTCTTTTCTTTCCCCTGCACCCCCTTCCTTTTATTTTATTTTTTTTAAATTTTTTAATTTGCAGTCCCTTAAAATTTTTGGCAAACTCTCTGTGTGCTGTCCTAGGTCATTAGAGGGCACTCAAAGACAGAGGGAATTTATTTTAACAAACCTTACCTTGCAAGTAGCCCCCACAAGGCAGAGAAGGATATTGCTGATGTTCTTTGTGGCCTTGCAGGGTAGTGTGGTACTGGCTCTGCTCCAACACATCACTTAGGCAGCTGAAGGCAGCTGGGCTGGAATATGTTTAAATATTCTTCTGGATTGATCTGTATCCATGTGCACTTTCTAAAAACAAGGTGGGGTCCACAAGAACTTCTCATTTGGGTTTTCTGGTCAAGCTAAGAAACAAATAAGGTGTTGGAGATATTGAGGAGAGAGAGGGGTGTCCTTGCTTGAGAAATCTCTGGATTGATAAAGTAGCAAAAGGGTGTTGGAAGTTGTGAGTGAATAAAGACTGAAGCCATTTTCCCTTCTGCCATGGCATTAGGTTGGTTTATCTAAAATAATTGGGCATGGCACTGCTCACACTGTGTGATTTCCAGTCCTGTAAATCCATAATGCCTCCAGCATGCACCACTCATGCATGTAGGCTTACTTTAGAATTTCTAAGTCTTGGAGTGGCAGAAAATGGGCTTTCAGATTTACAGGAGAGAAATGGCTTTGGGAAGGTTTGAGTAGCATCACTCAAGAATGTTAAATGGCAATTCTGCAAAGTAAAAACATCATAGCTTTATAAATATTGTAAGAAAAGAAAGATGATGGGAGCTCTTTGGAGTCTGAGAAATACTGAAAATTTTTCAAAATGTTGTGAGCAATTTGTGCAGTACTTATTAAAGTATAATGTCATCTGGAGAAGTCATGGACTTCTTCATCTCTATCATCTCTTTATTTTCAAATAATGCTCCCATTACTGGAAATGGGTGAGCAGAATTTTACGTGCATAGAATCTGTTTGAGGCGAGGTAGAGGTAACCAAAGATGACGAGTTTCTTTTTGTCAAAAGCCATCCTATGTAATTTGTTTGACACTGAGCTAGCAGAAGCAGCTCCTGAGATTGGTTAATTCTGCAGAAAGCAGAGCAGAGGTCGCTTGTGGGACAATCTGCAGCCCATTTCAGTGCAGCTGCCTGTGTAATAGTGGCCTGCAGTTACAAGGCAGGGTGTATTTCCATCTCTGCTAATGCTTTAGCTTGACTCAGCAAAACTTGTTTTTCTGCACAAAGCTGTGGTTGTCTTTCCAATTGCATCAGTGGAGGAGCATTTTAATTCAAAATAGCACCTTCTGCTGGAGGGGGGTCCTTATCAGACAGATGAGGTATTGTCAGGTTTTGAATAGTTTGCTTCAAAGGGGATTAATTAAAAAATTAGTGAGAACAGATGTCTGATGTTGGCCTGAACAGTCAGAAAGAAGAGGAAATGTCCTGGGTTTGAACTTTTTATCTTAATTGGATCCCTTGTGACTCTCAGCCCATTTGATAAGAGTTTATTCAGTAGACTCTCCTGCTTCTACTGTACAAAGCCACCAGCTTTACATTTTAAGGTTTTTATGTATGGGTTAGGCAGTCAGGAAGGTTTTTGCATACAGCTTGGGAAGATGATTCCTTCACAAAACAAAAACTTTATATACCACAGGCTGCTTTAGTATAGCTTTTTTATATCCCATGTGCTATACAGAAAAGCAAAATAGTGTTCTTTTAAACGACTTTAAAATATATTTTTGAATGTCATTATATATTCTTGTACAGGTGTGTTCAGGCTCCTTTTACCAGTTGCACCTTCTGTAGAGTGCCAAATTAGCAAGAGGAATATTTGGTATGCTGCTTTAATCTTCTAAGATCAACAATGCGATTACTTCTAGAGATGCAGGTGACTTTACAATGTGTAGGAGCCGTCTGGGGCTGTGTTATGGCAGGCACAATCATCCAATCTCTGGGAATTTTTCCTTTGCAGTAGTATAAATATGGCTTTAGACTTAAGCACTGATGAAGTATCAGAACTTGGCATTTATTCAAAGTTGTCCTTAGTGTGGGATAATTTGAGTTAGGCAAAATATTCCAATTTCTACAGGCAAGGAAAGAAGCTTGTTTTTATTTTTCAGAGCTTTCTGTGAAAGAAAAGGCTTGTCTTGATGATTCAGATATTGGAACAGTTCCCAGTAAAAAAAAAAAGGTGTATTGCAGGGTATGGAAAATCTGGTCAAGGAGGCTGATGGCAATGACAGTGTCTTGTGCCTGTTCCATGTATTACAGACATATCACTTCACCATACATGCTATTCTTAATATTCTGTCAAAAGACCCTTGATACAGCTTCATTTTGAGGGGGGGAAAAAAAAAAAAAGCAGATGCTGAAGGCAGAAGAGGGATCAGCTTAATGTCTAGGCAACTTTTGGAGGCACGAGTGAGTTTTTCATCAAATATATATATGCTTGAAGGGAAAAATCAATACAACTTCTTATTGAACTTTGGGTATAGCTAATATGGATGGAGATGTCTCTGCCAAAATACACAGCACTAATACCTAGACAGTACAGGTTTGCTCATGAAAACCTCCACAGTCAGGTTTGAGGGATGGTACAGAGTAGGACGTAGGGATGCAGAGATGGAATGTGTGCATTGAGGGTGGTTCCTGAAGCAGAAACTGAAAACTGTATAAATTAAGGGAAGAGATACTTGCAGGCTTGGAAAACAATCTGTCCCTTGCTGCAGAGCTCCTGGGGGTGAGGTGTGTTTGTCAGAGCTGCCTGTGTGCCCACCAGGGTCACTGCTCTGCCCCTCTCGTCCCTTGGTTGTCACCTCACCTGAAGGGACCATGAGAACAGAATGGTGACCCAGGAGTAATGCCCAGTCTTTCACTCTGTAAAAGTAAAGCAGCATTCTGCACTGACCCCTGTGGCCCCTACCCCACCTCTGGCCACTTTCCCAGGCTGTCTCAGGAACACACTCCTCCCTCCCTCCTGCCTCGGCAGCTCTGAGATGTTGCTGCTGCTTTATTCCTCTATTACTTCATGATAAATCACACCACCATTGCAGACTGACATACAGAGCAGTGAAAAAAGAAATGGGAATTTCCACATTGGTCTCACATTCCCGATATTTTCAGTTGCAGATGGAAAATAGGATGAGCAGAGTGACGATGCTGTGTCACTGCCTGGGACAGTGAATCAGGGCTGTCTGCAGCTGCAGTCACTGATGTTCCTCAGTGGCCATGCCCAGTAGCAGGGCTGAGATCATGGGTATTCCTTCCCTAATATTTAAGTTTAACAAATAAGAGCTTTGCCTCTTTGAATACCAAAACCAACGTTTGTCAGACAGTGATTTTTTCTTAATTTCTTTCATAGCTTTTGAGGGATAGGTCTTGGTAGGAAGTACCACAAAAGGCAAGAACTTCACATCCTATTCTTCATTAGAAATAATTCTGATATGGCATCTAAGTGATCTAGGTGCTTCTGGAAAATGTAGCTGCCTAACTTTAAAGTTCACCTGAAATTAAATCTTTAAATTCACCAAAGTGAATACAGTTGGTTTCTGATCCACTTCACGGGCCCCTTTTCTGAAATAAATTTGTAAGTGTTAAATTTGTTTTAATTAGTACATCTTTTTTTTAAAATGAGGAACATCTGATTTAATATTTTTTCCCTGCTAATTGGTCTTTAACTATTGAAAAAAAAACCCTAGGTGAAGATGGTTTTGTACTGCCCTTTTGCACCTGATGCTGTTTACACTGGTAACTGATTTCTGTCATTTGTCCTCAGACGCTGCAGTTTGATTATTCCTGAACAAAAATGTGCTGTAGTTCTAAGATGGCTTCTTAAAGACCCAGAGCTGCGGTTTGCACTTTTTCATACTGGTGTTGCTTTTGGTTTTATTTCAGAATAAGATGGTGTATGAGGAAAGGAGGCTTTTTCTGCAGATCAGCAACCAGTAGGGCAGGGATGGTGCAGGAGAGTGGGAGCAGACATGGCTCTTGGAGATTCACATGTATTCTGGTTTTGCATTCATGTGACCAGTTGCAGAAACACTTTATCTGGGACTTCTGGTTTGGCAAAAACTGGCGGGGGGGTTTCCACTTTTTTCAAGATCCTGCACTCATAATGCTTATTTACCTGCAGATTCTCACAGGCTCATTTCAGGCTGC